CCACAGTTTTTCCCTGTTATTCTCGTTTAAGCATAATTACATTCTTTTGGTTGTACTTTCAAAATTCAAATCTTGTTTATTACTTTTTATTCGCATATCTTACTCTTTGAAATTCCAAATTACGTTGTTTTTGTTCGGTTCACGATCGAGATAGCGTGTTGACGCCCAAAACATTAAAGAAAATTCTATCCAACACTCTTTCGCAAGGAACCTTCGTTTTCGTTTCCACATGGAAATATCCAGTTTTTCCGCTTCTCATCTTGTGCTCCAAAAAAAAAAAAAAAAAAAAAAAATTCCTAATACTTTTCACGGGTGCTCGCGTTAGCCATTCATTTATTCATTCAGCACACAAACTTCGGCGTCAACCAGCAAAAATAAAAGAATGAATCACCGATTCGTTATCAATCCCGAAGTCACGCTGCGGACTCACTAAATCATATCCTTATCGCGGGCAGCAGCCGTTCAATGTGTCCACGTACACGTACGCACATACACAGACATTCACACGGATGTGAAAGAAACGAAGGAAAAAAGAAAAGAAGGTGCGCGCACGGTTGCAATTGGCGGTTGATATCTCGAAACTGTTGGACCACTGACGGCGCACAATCGACGTGTCGTGGTTGTCGAGCGGCATTTCTGCTGGCATTCTACAGGCTTTCCGTGTCGGCATCCCGCGAGGCGGATTCCGCGCTCGTTATTTACTCTACGTTTCGCGAAAATGAAAAAGGCGGAGTCTTGTGCAAGCTCGCCAACCGGTGAAAGTCCCTATCGAGGCGCTAGGCGTCAGAGTCCACTCTCGAGATGGATAAAGATCGTCGGAGAGCGAAGATCGAACGACTCGGGCAATTTTACCGATATCGTCGAACAAAATGAAGCTTACTTTTATACACTATAAGTCATCTATAATTTTACCGAATATCATGATTTATTTACACTTTTCTCTACAATAATGAAAATTCAAACTCGACTCTTCAATTGACACATATAATCCGTGTATAACGCGTGTGAAAACTTTAAATTAAATTGAGATTACTTGGAATCCAGAATTCTACACAAAGAAAACCTACAAAACAGGTAACATTGTAAAATGAATGTAATATACCAAGTAAAGGATAACAACCGAAAAGAAAGAAGACGAAAATTTTGAATCGTATATTTAATTTTACTTTTTCATCATTGGAATATGCGACGTACAACTTTTTACAACCTTGGTCCCATCGTTAATCACGAGTCTATTACTAATGCCCTTAAACTATTACGAATGCCCTTAAACCTGACAGTACTCGGGTATCTGGGTCGCAATGCCTAACTCGTCGTTTGCATAAAGAAGATGCTCGTCGTCCGTGAAATTCTCGCGTTAGAGTACCATGCGTACATATGTATAGATACAATGTAGATGCTCCGTTTGTTTGCTCCAAAACGGGGGTCGACACTAAAAAACAGCGTATTCGTGAGAAACGTGCATGCACATGGAAGTATCGCGAAATAATTTCTATTTACCAAAAGAAACAACTCTATTTGCATTCGTTGCCGGCGCTTCTTTCGTCAGCGTCTAATATAGGGAGTCACTGGGAAATCTCATTGAGCCGCGTCGAAAGAAAAGCGCAGACTATGAGACCGCGGTGCTCGCGAGAAATTTTTCGCGCTTTACGAGTGCGATTTAACACAATGGAGTGTTAAGAAACGCGTCCGACTGCTGGAAAAAGCCCCCATTGTTCTGCTAACTCGCTGTTGATAATGACATTAATCCCTGGAACAATAAATGCGGCGAACCGTTGTGGAGATCTTACGTTATATAGGGTGACTCTTAATTGTTTAAAATCGACATTACGAATTGTTGAACTTCTTTTGCGAGGGAAGGTCCTATGGTTTTTCTATATAAATAAACGGTAAGTTCATTTTAGAAAGGCACAGAATTAATTACTACGTCAAATGAAACCAGTAAAACTACCATGCCTACGGAATGGACCGCGAAGAGTTAGAATAGATAAATATTGTGAATACAAATCAGGAGCCTTCGATATTATGTAGATTGACGTCTCGAGAAGAAACTAGAATTCCAACGGTATCGTCATCATCCTTCGCAATATTTTCTCGCGCGTCAGTTAACGGATCGAGCGAACTGGTTCAAAAATGGCATATTTTTCCAGAGAATCGAGTTTACCTCCGCGGGGTGTCTCGGATAAAACGAGCCGCAAGAAAGTCGCCCAATCAAAATTCCAATCGAAGCTTAATCAATGATCTTCGAAGGAAACGAGCCGAGCTCTCGATACGTTGCACGCCAGAAGTATTGGAGGGACACTTGGAAACGCGCGTTCCTAGAATTCTTTCCGCGACCCGGTTTATTACATAAGAAACAACAGGCGTCCGTCTACCCGTTACGTTGCACGGTGAAAATCCCTCGTAACGAACAAAATTTCTATCTAGTTTCCCCTTGTTCTATCCGATCGATCTCTTCGCGCACCTCGATCGCACGACCTTCGACGGAAATTCATTCCTAGAAGAAACTAAGAAAATTCCTAAATAGATTTAGAATCGAAGGATCATTCACGTACACCTAATATCCAAAAGTAAAGAATGCACCGATATGCGAAGAATGGAGTACACAATCGACAGTAGAACGTATCCTCAGTCGCAACAAATTCTCTGGACGCCAATTAGAACTAACCTTAATAGACAGAAGATCCAAATTTAATATTGTTCATAAAGGATTTCAGACATTTTATCAGGATATTTAATAACATTATTTTCGAACGGACGTAGCTGATACCCACACATAGGGGCAGTTGATGCGCCGTTAAACTTTTATGGAACAAAAAAAAAAAATTAATTTCATTTAGAAGGGGGAATTAACGCAAACGACCGTGACGATAGTTTTGTTTTTTTTTTATAACGGATACCCTTAGGTCTGCACACGACGTTAATCGTTCAACAGCCACGCTCGAGTTAATTTGAGTAACATAGTTATCCAAGCAGGTGAAACCACGCTTAGTGGCTAATACAGAGCGACGTATAATAATTTATTATTTCGTTCGCAGTCTAGTTCGTATTTTTGTAGGGAGGGGGAGGGGGGGGAATTAAATATGCATAAGTTTCGATAGAAGTAACTTTATCGAACAATGTAGGTACCATTTTGTTAACTATTATACAATAATCCCCTTAAATTCGTCGGTGGAATCTGCGCGCGAGCGAATAATGTTTACGGCATCCAAGGAGCAGAAGCCCTTCGGTACCGATCGCAAACGCGCCGCTTCTTCTAAGGGGCAGTAAATACCGGTATCTGGTGTCGTAAAGTACAGCATTGGTTTTCCACCGAGTGGACGTAGAGGACGAAGAGAGGAGGGGTAGGTACGAACGTAGCTGGAAGGAAATGGGTGAAGAAAGGGTCGAAGGGAAAGGAGCGTGGAGACAGGGTTAGGAAGGAAGCGGGAGCGAGTTAGGTGTAGCGAGGAAAAAAGGGTTGCGGAAGGAGAGGGACGAGAAAGAGAGGACCAGGGCAGCTCACCGCGTAATTTATGTCTCCAGCGCGCCGCGGCAGCGTTGACAGTTGAAACACTGCAGCGGCTCGGATTGGTCGGCACCGGGCGCCTTATAGGGTCGCGCGCATGCGCACACCGACTTACGACATCCATCAGAGGCGACCGGCTACTGCCGTCAGCGTGCCACTCTTTATCTTTCTCCTTTTCTCTAGCCCCCGCTTGCCCTTTGCGGATGTCAACCGAGCCGTAATCCGCTGTCACTTCGGATACTCTCCCCGTCCTCGTCGCGTTGGCTGGGTTGTTGTCCTATTTCGCCTATTCCGGTCGTCGCCGCCGACGACGGAGACGATCCTTGCGCGCCGCGTCTTCAGCCGATATCCTTTGCGGTCCCTCCGCGTCTACTTCGGTGGAAAGTGTCTTCTCCTTCCTTGGCTCCTCGCCGTCTACTTTTACCGATAAGCTTTTTTCTCGCGCGACTTGGAGCTAGCCTGGATGTCCCTCCACGCCATATTCTATTTTCTTGACTGTTGATCAAAGATGAGAAGCGTATCGCTAGGACAATATTTTTCAATTTCTTCTCAACCTTTTTTTTGAGTGTTATGGACGCGCGGTGCTGTAGTATCATCCGAAATTTCGAAGAGCTTGGATATTTATTTCGATCAGGAAAGTCCTGCGGCGACGGCCGTCAGCATCTTCAGACACCTTTGTTCTTGCAACTCGTTCGACGCAGCACTTGCTTTTTGAATCTTTAATTAGGCGCTTCTCTTCTTTTTGGTCGTCGATCTTTTGCAGTCGACTTTTTCTCGTCAGTGACGCAGTTCCAGCAGACTTCTTCAATATACACTCTATAGACTTTAGATAAGCATTTAGGGACGTAGGCGCGATGACTTTGATCGAGTAAATCAATATTTGCCACGCGACTGTGGGTAGATTAGAAGGATCAAGTACTGGGTTCTTTCGAGTCGGTTTTACGATATGATTACCGAACCGTGAAGAGTGGAGCAACGTCTGCGCTCCTTTAGATGTCCCAAGACCACGGTGCAAAGCAGGCGCCTGACGAACAATCGTTTAACGGTTCGACACGGCGCTAAAGGATCACATAATGTATCACGAGACGCACAGACACGATACAGAAAGAACAATTTCAAAACTGACACGATAATAACGCTGTAGAACCGTAACCGCGGCCGATATAGTCTAAAACTTTTTAAATGTATAACTATCGTAACATCTCCTCTGATGTTACCATTAACAATCGTAACTGTCTTTGAGCCCCGATTCAGATCGAGTAACAACGATTACTCGGGAATCCAGAGAATGTTGCTCCGCAACTGTCCCATTCCGTCTGCTGTTTTCGCCGAGTAGCCTTCGGTATTATGTAATTGTGTTCAAAAGTTGCCCGCGAAAGCCGATTATCCGTGATCAGCGACTCGTTGAGCAACCGTCGAGTGACCGTGCACCGCGTCTCTCCACGAAAGCAGAGTTTCTAAAGCAGAGTCCTCGACACGATGTTTGTTCCAGCAGCCGGCCAGCTCGCAGGAGCGTGGCAGCGGCTTGGCTGTGGGGCGTCAAGGGGGGCCCGGCAGCGCGGGGGGGCCCGGAGCAGTGGACCAGGCGAGGGACCTAAGTCCCTGCCTCCCCGCGTCCATGGGCGACGCTGCACGACCTACCACCTTACCGTGCAGTCCTCCTGCCGCCCACCATCACGGGCCCCATCATACGCCCCTGCATCAGACCCACTGCGGCACCAACAACAACTGCTACGACGGACCCACCACCCCCTACGACTCTAGGGACTACGATTCTCCTGGAGGTTGGTTACTTTCTCCTTTCTACGTGTTTCGTGGTTCACTCGACTCTGTATCCGCTTCTCTATCGTAGATTGTTCTCGTGGTCCTTTTCATTGGGGATATACAGGGTGTTAAAAGAAAGGAGCATTCAATATTTATTTAAAATATATAGAATAGAGAACTTGCAAATAATACATAAATGATATTCATTTTCTGCGTCCTGTTAATGATCTTGTTTCATCATCATCATAATATTTTCAACGCGATAGCGGAATTAGCAACGTCCAAGGGTCATCACCATTCGCATTTCTCCTTCAGATTGTCACAAAAATGATCGCATATTCATAATCTTTCTAAACACAGTTGAAGAACGGAAGCTTAGATCAACGTTTGTTTCGTTTTCTAAAGTCTTTTGCTTTGCCTGTACATTTCTGTACGTTTACAGTTGTCATAAATGCACAAATATCCATGATCTAGTCATCATGTGTCGTACGTACGTCGTTCCATGCACTTGCACCGTTCTAGATCGATAGATGTTTTCACGAAACGTTTAAATGTCCACCAGGCGGACAAGAGTACAGGAACAACAACAGCAACTTCGAGAACCCGAGCGACCTGAGCATGCCGCCCCAAACGGCCCACCACCACCACCACCACCATCACCACCACCATCATTCCCATCTGCATCACCAGACTCACTCGCAAGAACAGCAGACCACGGAACACTTGCACGCTATCCCGAAGCTGGAGCCACCGCCCACCCCGCCCGCGCAGTCCGAGGACGTCCCAGGGGTGGTTTGCGCCGGATGTGGCCTCCGGATATCCGACAGGTTCTACCTGCAGGCCGTCGACAGGAGGTGGCACGCCGCATGTCTTCAGTGCTCGCACTGCCGTCAGGGCCTCGACGGCGAAGTCACCTGTTTCAGCAGGGACGGAAACATTTACTGCAAGAAGGACTACTATCGGTGAGTCGATGGCACATTTGTTAAGAGGGTTAACCCTTGACTGGGTAAGCTGAAATGTAGGGAAACTTGTTACGTACGAACGTGGCCTGAAAGGTTCTTGGGCCTCGATCGTGGATAACACTACAAGATATGTTTTATGGGTTCCTTTTAATTTTATAAACAAAGAGATGTATTATAACTACAGGTTACAGTAACATGTGATCGATATATATTTGGTTTATAGGCAATAGGTTATCGATCGAATGTTTAATCGCGATAGGGGTTGGTTATAGGGATATTATCGCTCAAAACAAGGTAAATAAACTGGTAATAGATTTTCGATTTGTCTACAATTGCAATAATTAGACGAGATAATATGAAAGAACATTGTACGCCAGACGACTTCACGCTAAGAAAAATACAAACGAAATCGCACTTTATTGAATTAATTTTTTAGCCGATATCCACGTAAATTGTAATTACGATAATTAGATGTGGTACTTTAAAAGAACGTCTGGACGAACCCTACCGAAGAAAGAAATAGAACACACATTTCGTTTAATTAAGTTATTTAATGGTACCTGCGTTCGCGTTAGTTATGGAGCTCGTAATGTTAAAAATCAGTGTAAACGTTTGCTAATTGGTAATCATTTCGCCGTTACAGTTGCAGTAATTACACTTTGTCCGTTTACATTTCTTCAATGTTCACGTTAAACGGCTGTTAATTGGTGTAAGTCTATTATTTATGCCAGTATATTGTTAATTAATAGGTTTATCATTACAATTACGCATGAAACTTCGCGAGAGGAGTGTGTGTTTCTTTAATTCCACCTGGGAGTTATCGGTCGAGAATTATGCCTTTCAATTAACAATCTGCACCAGAAGGTATGAATCTTCGCGTGGTCGGCTGATTATCTTCCAAAGTTAACCAATTAACCGTAACCGCAAAGGCTAGTGTCTCTCTCGTTTATCGGAGCAATGTTTCCCGAGGAAGTCCTGCGGTTTGGTCTATACCGACACTTTAGCACGATTATCTATTGCACGCGACCTTGACGATTCTATATGCAATAAATGCAAATGCCAACTGCAATATAATTGTTTAACGTAACAAAATGACTCGCGTGAATGCTTAGGGTAAGGAATTCTCTTCTCAAAATTATCTTCTTTCATTCGACGATGACTACATTGATCTTAACGTTTACATTACGTAAAAATATTTTCATTGAATAACCAAGCAGGTTGCTCTTTCTCAAACATCTTAATCATTTATCGACCAGTAACCTATTAACACGTTGGTCGCCACGTCACCCATTAAAAAGTTAATTCTGAAATTATACTGTCGAAGAAAACGAATCCGAATAGAATTCGCGAATATGGTAAGGTTAGAAAAGTAACTACCACAAGAAATACTAGATTGCGCGGTTTTCAATTGTCTCGAAACAAAATTTTAACCAAGTAGAGCTTTTCACGAGTATCAGTTTGCCTATCAGCGTGTTAATCGGCTTCTCGTCATTGCAACCAATACTTTGTTACCTATAGTATTACTTTTTCTTTTATCGTTTAATAAGACACCTCGTGGGGCGTTCATGTTTGTAATTTTGACAATAGACGTATCATTTTTACATACTCAAAACGTGTAGGCATACATATGTCAGACAACAATTGCTTCGCGAAAGACCCTGTGGTTCTCTCGAACAAAAATTCTAAAGATCACTTAAAAGTCGCGTCTCTAGACGCGGTAGAATCCTCCCGTAACAGCATCCTTCGGTCCTATTGTAATACTGTTCATTGCTAACCATCGGGTCGTCAAACGACTCACCGTTACTTCCAATCTTTCTCTTCCGTTTTTCTCCGCCTTGGCCTCTTCGTCTCGTCCATTTTCATCGGGATTATATTATTCCCCGCTTCCGTACCGTGTCGGGCAATTTCAATAACGAACAATCCGCGCAACGGGGTCAGCTCGTAACAACCCGCCAAGCGGAGTCGGGTCGCTCGTCACGCCGACAAGTCAAGCGGGAAGCAATTTCTGTAATTCCAGTAGCCGTTCGAAGACGTTGCTCGAGAGTGCTCGTGCCTTCTCGAAGCGGACGCGGCTTTTGCGCAACGCGTCGAGGCCTCGAGTCGCTTCCAACCGCGGGGACGATAAGGGCCCGTTTTATCGACGTGCACGCGATTGACAATGAATTACGGTTGCAACGACGCTCCCCGAACGAATCACGCACGGGATAACAAAAAATGATCGTCGCGTGTCGGTAGCCGCGCGCCCACGGGGAACAATGAGACAGACGCAGTCACGTCGGTGAGTACGTTAACGCGTCGCGAGGAATGAAGGAACAAGGATTAAACGTCTTGATTATCGCAATTAGTCGAGAACAGGGGCGTTCGAATAATAGAATATTCTCTGTACTACTTTCCTAATGTTGATGTTCATATACAATCAGTTCTATACGTATTCCTACCCTCTATATCCATTGAAGAAGTTTCTCTAGATTGTATTGGGTTGTTCAGAAAATAGTTTCTTTGTTCACGAGAAAGAGAAACATAAACAAAAAATATAAAAAATATATTGAATTATATATTGACCCTTTAGATCCAATACCTTCGGCCATCTTTCTAGTGGCAGTATAATTCCACGTTTATAGAGGCTCCGATCTTTGTTATAGACTTGACATTTTCGTCTTAGAACCCGGAACACAATTATTTACTCTTCTTTGCGATGGACGAGGTCTCTCCCTTATTAAGCCTCGTTAACTTTCACGCACGTTAAGAGAAATTTAATTTTTCACTGTCTACCATACAAAAGTAAGTATGGGTCTCGCGTTCCAATTAGTCGTATCGTTTCCTCCGTCAATAATTACTCGAACAATTTAGGTGTCTTCCTTGATGCTCTGCGATCTATGCATGGTATATTACACGAGTTAACATACAGCACTCCGATATTAGGATTACACGATCGTGTGTACAATGCGATGGTATAATACAACACTTCTTTCGCTCCGTCCAATTTAAATTCCAACGTGTTATTATGTACGAAATCGGATTTTGGCCCGTTGATTATCGAAATAATTTTTCCGCGAATAGTTCCTCAATTAATCAACTTTCCCCGTAGGACAGATCGTCGATCAACAATCCGCTGGAAGTTACTCAACGCGTCGATTTCCGTAGGGCAGGAAAAAGTGGGTATTTCGCGGCTCCTTTACCAAACGAATTCCCATATAAAACCGTCCATTGCACTTGGCACAGCGGCTCGATAAGAATTCTCTCACGTTTCGCCAGTCTCGGGCGATATTTCCATTACGAGGAAAACAATCGCGCTCCCGACTGGGCTGGAGTACGCGGAAATCACCGGTCTCGCCATGTTTTCTCGCCGTTTCGAGACACTAATCCCCTTCGAGTGGGGAACCCGAAGGCGACTCACGATAAATCCGCAGGTACGGCGCTAACCACTCCTACAGACGTAATCTTTTCCAGCGAAAATCGCTAGCTTTGAACGCTTTCAAACGGAACTGTTCACCATTCTTCCGCGATTTGCGTTTCGCACGGATTGGGACAGATCGATTCACGTATTCCTGGTATTCGACACCTTGGACGTCGGATTTGGATTATTCGGCCTTGTCGTGGACCTTTGTTTCGAAAAGTGGTGATTAGGATTAGGTAAATCATTCGGGAGGCATTGTCGATTCCTTGATGAAGGCACAGTTTGCACAGAAGTGCGTTTCCCGAAAACATGACCATTTCTTATCTGCCAGCAGAAATTACTCGTGATCCAACCCAATATTATAGCTTGGTTACTTGAGGCGTTACGTGGAAATGCGAGTGTTTCAAAGTCTAACCTAATACACGAACTGACAATTACAGTAACGGAACCTAGCTGCCAATAAAGCTAACAGTGAACGATAAATCTTGAAAATTGATCCTTGAGATACGTAGAACCTAAGAGGTAAAAGAATCGAATTCTAAACTCTCGTCAAGTACAAATACACCTTGCCATCCACTCGTAAAGTAACCAAGCATAACTGCCAATAAAATTTACATTCTCGATTGTTCAAAGTAAAATTATCGCTGTCCGTTCCAATCACCACAGGAGTTCAGCTATCAATTCACGCATTACGTAGGACACGTTCGCTTCTAACAATGCTTCGTAAACTGATGAAATATTCTCCTATGTTACTCGCAACGAACCTCCAGTTTTACCAGTCGTCGACTCAATCTATAAATCTTCCAATTATAATTCGCCTTAACGATGAAAGTACCGCATCATTACCAATAGTTCAAACCGTCATAGAAGCACAGCTATCGACTTGTGCAGTCGATGGAAGAAATATGACAAGGTCGTAAAAGCAGTATGGGGTGAAGACGGTAGCCAGTTTGAATGACGCGAGTCAGAATTACAACTGCCTACGTTTCGTACGGTGGAATAAGGTAGAATAACTGGCAATGAGCATATTGATGTAAACTTTTGCCCTCGGGGGCTGTAGCTATGCTTGATACCCGAGCTGCAGGGGGTGTCATAGTCAAGTTATACGACTTAGCATTCTTATGAATAAAACTCAGTTACTTACTCAGCTGCAGCCTTACGTAGCCTTGTTAGTCGAAAACGACATTTGGAGGATTATAACTTAAACGATATTCATGTCGCAAGACTTTCTATTAGAGCGTATCTCAAATATTTTATTATTCGTATATTTATTCCACAAAGTGTACTATTATTAGTGGATGTCTTCATTACACACAAAAACATGTACATATGCATCAACCGCATTTTTCTGTGATATTTTATTACACAACAGCATGAAAAAGGTCGCAGCACCATCGAAGATAATTATTTCTGCGCCAAATCTGACAGTTGCCATCAGAATTTTTACGATAGAGTGTTATTCGTGTTTGCTCCGATTTGAAAAATTGCGCGCCGTAGAGTAAAATTTGTCTCGAATAATATTTCGGTAGGCGGTAATTTTTATGTCAAGTATAAATAAAAATATCGTTAAACGCGTTCGAGTCGATTAACCCAAGAAATGATT